GGTATGGTGTGGTATGGTATGGTGTGGTGTGGTGTGGTATGGTATGGTATGGTGTGGTATGGTATGGTGTGGTATGGTGTGGTGTGGTGTGGTGTGGTATGGTATGGTATGGTATGGTATGGTAAGTCTGTTGATATTTGGATAAAGTTTGATATGGTAGTAGCTTAGAGTCATTCTCACCACACAATCTGAGTCCTAACAAATAACTATCACATGAGATTGTGCGTAATGTTGTGTATAGGAGCATTAATATGTTGTATTATTTACAACTATAACGCCAAATAAGTGTAAAGTGCAGCGCAGTTAGCTCTAAGGTTTAAAAGAGTCACATGCTTTCTGCTTCAGTACCAGCTCCAGACAGCAGCGAGGGTGACTGACAAAGATGTCAGCTGATTATTGCTGTTGCTTTAATCTCTTGAATTCTAATCGTTGTCTGAAGAACCTCAGGCAGTTTGTCGTGTGCCTAACCAGCAGGGTGGAGGAGGCTGTTTCTGTTCCCAGTTCGAACCTCCTGGTCAGCCGTGGCCTTGATGTGTGGTTAGTTGTTTCTATAGGAGCTTTCAAGTTCCCTCCTCGAGACACACTCGTCTGCTTAATCAGTGATGACCGACCTCTTGTGCTTGATGTACCTCCTGTCGGTCGGCGTAGCTTGCAGCCTCCTGCTGCTCCTCGAATAATAGGACAATAAAGGATGGAGGGAGTATCTCTCTGTCGGACCAGCAGGAAATAAGATTAGTAGCTGTAGCCTTGCCGTCCAAGAGGCAGTCTCCTTTATGTTCTGATTTGTTTCTTCACACTCCGATGACTTTACGGTTTACTTTATCGGGAAGTCCAGTGTACCCGTGAGTGTGACTCTCGAAACCTCTCGATCTGTGCACGACTGGTGATTTGTCATCTCTGCAGACGGATAGAAAAAAAAAGAATGAATGTCAACGAAAGAGGAGTGAAGTGAATAAATGAATGCGTTCTGATTTCACTAAAATCAATGCAGTGATGAGATATTTTGCTGACAGAGAAAATCAGCATCAATCATCAATGTTAAATTTTGCACTTTGAGTATAGACTATTTCGCAGTTACAAATGCAAAGGGCCACACGTCATTTGATGATAAATTGGAATTGAACAAATTTACGTTGTTACACAGACCCGTTGTATTTGCGCTAAACCGATTTGTTTTAAACTTTCCTTTAAAGGGGACGTTATGCAAAATCCACCTTTTTAACTCTTTAATACATTTTGTTGTGTTTTTTGAGTCAGAAGGGAGTTCTAAGAGTAACTGTAAAAGCTCCAGGATACGTGATTAATGTAACCTTTAGGCTGAGGCTGTCAGAGAAAACTGTGAGAAGCCCGGAGTTTACCTGTTATCATCATTAATTGTCATTTTCCAGCAAATGTAATCTTCGCATTTTGGTTTGAGTTGACATCGATTGTGCGAAAAGTTCCTCAGGCTGTTCAGAGGGTGTTTAAACTCCTGGGGTCTCATTTATAAAGGATTGCTTGGAAACCATACAAAAAGTGAACGTACGGCCAAAAGGCGGAAATGGCGTACGCCAAAAAAATTCAGATTTTTATAAAACCGTGCGTACGCACGTTTCTGCGCATCTTTACTTTATAAATCACAGCCGCACGTCAGAGTTTGCGCACGAGGTCCCGCCTCAGGTTCTACCCTCTACACGCCCACATTCAACCATAAACAGTCAATGCAAAGTACCTCATGAATGTTAAGATGTATTTAAATCAGTCAGATGATCAATGCCAACAAAAGTGATTGGTTCAGACACGCTCCGTCGTGCGTCTGGAGGTTGACAGGTGCTGACTGACAGCTGCTCACTTGAACAGAATGTCTGTAGCTGACACAGATTTTCCCTCATTTTGCTTTAGAGTAATCTAACGATTTTTATTTAAAAAAAACTCAGCTTCAAATTAATTTTC